ATGTGGATATGTATATGTATGGGTGGGGGTGGGGGAGAATGATTCGAATTTAAAATGTTTGTATCGTCTCGGGTGAAAGTTTAATTTTAAAACAAAATTGCGATTCTTATAACAAGTAGCGGTTTCACTTAATGGTCCGTGCCCAACTAGGCCCAGTGGGCAAAAACAAAAATGGGCTTGTCCTATTAGTCTTCACAAGTTCTACTCATGATGTTGTTTTCTCTATACCTCGTTGCTATGTCACCATTAGGATTGGGTTTTAGGTTAATTGTCTTCGTTATATCACTTTCATATTCGTATGTGACAATGAATGTGCACATCAGACCACAAGTGTGGTCAAGACCATCATTTGATTTCGATGTCCACCTTCTAATCTAGAATTTCACATGCACGAATAACCCGTATTCCAATAGTTTTTCTAAGTGCTCTCTCTCTCTCTCTCAAGTCGACAACAAAAAACCTATGCTTGTCTCTCTTAAAAATTGACAACTAAAAAACGTCTTTTAAAAAACAATCTAATCATCAAAATCCCTTTTAGAAATATTTTTAGGATTCATGGTGAAAACAAAAATTATGTCAAAATTGCATACTTTTGTCTGAAAATAACTTGTATAAAATATATTGCAGCTCTCTCGTGAAAGTCATATTTGATTGGTGTTGATATTAACTACTAAAAATTTTTCAATCACGAATATCGTGATGAATTTTCTGGTACTATATTGGGTGAAAAATAATTCGAATTTCTACCCCTCTCTCTCTCTCTCTAACTAACAAATATTCCAACTCCATCTTCAATTTAGTAGATGGAAATCATTAAAGTTTGTTTGGTCACCACGCCATCCTATCCCCACTAGCAGATATATCCACAACAAACATAGACCCACAAATGTATATTATTTCTAGTAATGGTAGGCTCGGGGCCAATGTCCTTTTTGTTCCCTAGGGCTCCACCCATCTTTTCGAATTTGGGTATTTTGCATTCCATTGATCGGGTGAAATTACTTGTCCAACCCTATACCAACTTGTGCAATTATAAAAAGGAGAATTTTATCTTGACCTCTTAAGATTTGTTATTTAATTATTTAAATCTCTTTATATTTAAAATATTATATATAAGTCTCTTCAAGTTTGCACACGCTAAAAATTAAACTCTAATATCTGTTAGTATG